ACAGTGTAATCAAACCAAATACCGCATACCAAGAAAAGAAAAAAAGACTCAGGACATGATTAATATAAAACAATTGTAATGAAAACACTAATGGCTTGATGTATCTACAAAACAATAAACGGAACACAAATATTATTTGCAGCAACAAACGACAACCACTGAATTACTGGCTCCTGACTTGAAACAGCATATACAGAATGTTTGCAGTCACCTAACAATCCACAGTGGTGCAACAGCAAAACATAAGAACAAAATATGGCAATCAGTCGAAAAAAGGCTTGGTCTCTTTTGGAAAGTTGTTTCATTGGAAATTATTCCACATCTACTTATTTTTTAATTGACTTATCAGATCAAAACAAAACACACAGCAAACAGTTATAGGACTTTAGACACAAAGTACAGATCTGCGAGTACTCGCATTTAGCGAAAGCTAGTTCATTTATCGCCCTTCCCTTCGCCTATATCAGTTGGAAAGCAAGTCCTTGGAAACGTCCGTTGTCGTCAAGCTCTATCAGCAACAATAGCAGGGGGAATTAATTAGGTGGCGCTACAGTCGTCGGTGACTTTAAAAAGTCCACGAAATCAATCGGCTAAAAAATTGACGTTTAAAGTATTTTTTTCAACTTGTCATGCTTTTATTATAATTGATTTTTAATTTTTGTAGGTTTTGTGAGCAATATAGTTTCAATACGACATAGAAACATTGTCCAAAATAACTTTTATTTGCTATTTCTTTTTCCTGTCCGTTCTAAAAATTATCAGCCATCTTTTTTGTTCGCCAAAAACATCGAATTTAAATAACTTGACGTTTGCGTATCCAAATACGGAAAAGAACGGTAAGAATCTTATATATGAAACCGGGTAACCTATTTCAAATTTCTACACAATTATGAAGCCATCATTTTTTACTCTAATACAACAATTTTAGTGACCACCAGTCATGTCAATTTGTAGCTGTTTTTGGCTGCGTTTCTAGTTTAAAACAGTGAATGTTCAACTTCTTTTCATTGTGTTTTCAAAGTACTCTAAAATACTGATTTTATTAGAGATATGAACGAAATTGTGATTAAAAGTTGTTGTTTTCACAATTCCATACGATACCTCCATTTCAAAGTAAATAAAACCTTTCTTGATCCCCTACACAAATTGACGGTGACATTGTTTTCTTTTTTCAACATACGTCATATAACGTTGACAAAATATGTGTCAGGGTCATGTGCATAGTGATAATTTACACATTGAAAAGGTAAAAAAAAGATCATCTTTTAAAACTGTACGTCTTAGAATATTTCATTCATACTGGAAGCAAATCTGACAAATTAATGATAGCCTATGGATGGACAAAAACACAAAAAATAGCAATAGAAAATACCTTGTAATGAAAATTTCTGGAGGAAAAAACATGGAAAAGGAAATAAAGGTCAGTTTATCATATTTAGGTTAAAAGTTGAAAACCTTGCATTTTTGGTTATCTCTTTACTGAATAAGCCACAGTAATAAGTGAAAAAAATAGCTTATAAAGTCAAACAAGAAATTTAATTCATAGAGATGTTTTCTTACAAAATTGAATTTATTCAAATGGCAAATTCTTGGCAAATTTATCAATCCATTGATAATTAAGTAAAAGGCACAAGATTTGTCCCACCAACTTTCATCTGTGATATAGATATCCAAGTATTAAGGTAAAATATACAATACTTTGTTTATGAATATGTATACCAGCTGATACAGCAATCTGAAGAGTACGAAGCCCCATTTTGTTTTTTTTTAAGTTTACTTTCATAATCTATCAAATACCCTGAGAAATTTGGCAAGGGCTACTAGCTGTGGTAGCTAATATAATAATTGAATTTTACAATAATAATGATTTTAAAGTCAAAATTATGTCACTTATAATTTTAAGTATTATTTTTTACAGAATTTCTGTCAATATTTTTGGTAAACTTATCCTTTTTCTTTATGATATTTTCTAGGCAGTACTGTACTGTTCAACTAAGAAACATAGGCTTGAGTTAAAAGGCTTTTTTACTTTGAGGAAACTAAATTGTGACTCTTGGTCCCACTTTATTAAAATATTAAATATAAATGATCAGTACTATTTTTTTTTTCAGAAAGATTATTTAAATTGAATACAGTGTTTTTTATTGTTAAACATTGTTAGAAGTATTTAAAAAAAATCCATTAGGAGTGATCCCATATCCCATTATAAAAATTACAGAGCTAATTTATATATCAGCTAGGTTTCTAGATCTAAGTTTTACCAATTTTTTGTCTTTAAATTTTTACCTGTAATCCTTCTCTGAAAAGTAGGGAAGTATCTCTTCTTAATATCATAATAACATAGTTGTTAATCGACTTTCTTTTATTTTCCTCTTGATTTTTGTAAAATAAACTCCTTTTTATTCATTTTGGTGAGTTTTTATTTTTGACTGGTGATATCAAGGGGAGATAACCACTTGCACAAATCGGCAAAATAACCACCGTTTCGTGTTGAACATAACTTGACGTTTGCGTATCCAAAACTGTATTGCCTAGATATTCATATCGAGTGTTTGTCTTAATGAGATGCTTTATCAAATTTAAATTCAGCCCATCATTTTTAGTTTCCTCGAAAATACTTAGATTTTTCGATCAGGAGCCTTGACAATTTTCACACAAACTTCAAGTTTGAAGATAAAATAAAGAATAAAGGACTTTGAGTTGATGTGTAAGTTTTTACGAGTTAAAACTATGTATATTCAAGATTATTTTGATCAATACGTTTTTACCATGACAGTGGTATTTTAGTAAGTAAAAGTGAGGTTTGTCTCATCCGTAGTTTTACTGAATTTTCACGGTCACGTGACTCTATTGTTGCTGATAGACTTGGGGTCAAACCGTGACCTGCTTTCCAACTGATATCACCCTGCTCAGCACTTCATGAAATTGCATATCACGGCTTTGTGACGTCAAAGACGTTGACCCGGCCTTAATAACTTTGACCCGGACATATCAATGACGTCATAATGAATGAACCGACGTTGATAAGTGTGACCCGAACTTATCAAGTCATCCGAGACAAAATGGCGATGGCAGCAATGACGCTGTGTTTACAGACGAAGATGGCACTGGCAACTATTAACCAAAAAAGAAAGATTTATGCACCTTTTTCAAGCAGATACAGGCAATGTTTATACAACAACCAAACTAATTATGGATGAACAGTGCTGTTGAATCAAAGAAAACACTTGTTTCTATAATGCAAATACAATCCGATAAATCGATTTATCAGACTCTCATCATATTCAAATTGTAAAATATGCAGACAACCTGATAATCGGTACGTATCTAAGATTAAAATAACAATCGGTACTCATCCAATGTATTTAATGTAAAGACGTCATAAACTGTCAGAGAAAAACGTGATATTGTGCAATGCCAAAATATAAGTATCAGCAGATAGCTGTCTTAGAACTAGGACAGGTCTAAGGGTTGTTTTAGTCCTTATTAAGGTTAACGAAATACTCCCAAGATTATCATCAGTATGAACGGTGGATTGATAAATTTATTGCTTGATTAAAGTTTAACGCCACTTTCAGCATTATTGGTTATTTCGTGGCGGTCAGTTTTTATTGTTTGAGGAAGCCGAAGTAACCGCTGGGAATCGCCAACCTTCGGCAGGAAAATGAAGGGCGGAAGTTTAATAAATGTTCTCTTAGATTGATCTATTCCAAGAATTAGCCAAATTTGAAATTCTTATTATATCCACATTATGATAAAAGGTACGTGAATGGTAGAAAAAATAATATACACTTATAAATGTTCCTGATTGTATTCAACATTTATTCATATTTCTAGATACATATTATAAAGAAAATCAAATATTCGGCTTTTAGAAGTATTACAACTGCAAAATAGTACAACCAGAATGAATGGCTGAAAAGGGAGGTATGTTGGTGAGAACATAGCTTTTGTATTGGACTACAGAACCGTCAAAGAGTAGTTCCAATGGTTATTTAACTTGTTGGCCGGGTGATACTCTCTCTACATGAGGCATTTGATGTAATGCCACATTTCTATCTGGTTGGGCTGCTTCTTATGCATCCCCACACAGACAAACGGACACCGCTCACTCAGTATGGATTTGCCAAGAGAAGTCCAGATAACCATAATTATTCTTTACCCCAGTCGATTCTCTATCTATTCCTTATATTTTATAGTATTTTGCATATATTGAAATTTTTGACTATCGCGTGTCCCAAGAAAAGACGCCAAGACAAATATGTTAAGAAAGATAACAATTCGCACAGGGATCAGAAATGTGGAAATTGTCGTGACATTATTACAATTTAATGTAAATATTCTATCATGAATTTCTATAAAAAACATATAAATAACAGTCTCTTTGTTTTTAATATTGAATGAATGTCGATTAAATTATGTCGTGTGTACTAGCTAGTATTCCTCATGTCGTCACATCCAGGAATTTATGTAAAAGGTTAATGACATTTTATGAGAATTTGATCTTTTTTGGGAAAACAATAAACGCTTCCCATTTAGTCATCTTTTCTGATCTATGTATTTATATATAAATATACTCTTCATAGTTTGTAAAATAAGAGTAAACAAAACCATCAAACATAAAGGTAGGTGAAAAATGTTTATATTTCCAGTATTAGTTTAACAATATTAGCATATTTATTTCTATTAATTAAATGTTTTTACACAAAAACGAAAAATTAGACGAATTTATCTGATGAAAATGATTTATTTCAAACAAATTCTACTCTTTCGACAAATATATTTTTAAGGAATAAATCGAATTAACGTTTTTATTCATGTAAACAAATTGAGACATGGAACTTTTTAAAAGAACTTTAAAATATTCTAAACAAAATCAATGTACATGTATACATGTTGGTTTTGTGAATATTTATAAATTAATTTACATAATAACTATAGTTGTTAAATTTTTATTTCAGATAAATCATGATCATTCTTATTTGTGCCTTTATTTTTATTTCTGAAATATCCTGCTTACATATTCTACCCTGTGAACCTGGTGATCCGGGTCCTTTAGGATGTGATCAGTATGTTAGGAACGGGGGACAACTCGGCGTCGGACAAACAAATAATCCAGGGAATGTAGGAACATTTGGAACAGGGAGCGAAAATTCTATTGGGTCATTAGCTAACGATGCTTCCTTCTTGAACATTCAAAATATAGCAGGAATACAGTTTATTGATCCAACGCAGATTGCAAATCCTTCTCATTTTGTTGATCCTACAACACAATTTCTGGATCCTACAACACAATTTGTAGATCCTACAACACAAATTCTGGATCCTACAACACAATTTTTGGATCCTGCATCTCAGTTCATCGACCCTACATTTACAGGCCAATCATTTGCCGGGACTGTAGGTCAATTAGACCCTACAATGCAATTCATTGACCCGACACAAGTTGTAGATCCGTCATTTAACGGAGCAGTTGGTGTAGGACAATTGGATCAGCCGACTGGGCCTTTCACAACTGGTTTAGATTTCGTTGGTAAATCTAAAATGTCAATGTCCTATCCAAAGGGCAAATTTACGACAAAAGGGAAAACTATTGCAAAGGGATATCCGAAAGGAATGATTATAAAGAAATCCGTGGGAGGATATCCAAAAAGATTGATGGTCAGGTATCCGAAAAAATATGTTAAAAAAGGTATTCTTGGATATCCAAAAGGAAAAATACCAACGTATAGCAAATATCGAAATGTTTATGGTAAACCCCTTTATAAAAGTCAGAAATATCAAAAAGCATATAGATATCCAAAGAACTATAAAATAGTAAGATATTTGAAGAAAAAATCCATGATTGGAGGTTATCCGAAATTTGGTCTGAGGATGAAAACTGGAAAGGGAAGATCGTACTCAAAGGGATATCCAAAATTTAGCATCAGTAAGTAATCGATTTTTCGATGTCTGAGAAACTTCATCGTGTACTGTTTAAAAGTAACTAAAGTTAATATGTGTTTTTTTTTTCGAAATATGAAAAATTGATACCTGGAGACTTTTTATAGCCAATAAACGCATTTTCCCGAAAAGACTAAATTTTGCGTGAAAGAAGGTATTCTCAACGTTAACATTTTGGAAGCAAACTTTTGATAAACCTATAAATGACAAAAACTGTCCGATCATACAGTACAATACTGCTTAATTACAACATAATCATATCAACTCTGATGATATCGACATAAAATTTCTATCAATGTCATTCAAAAAGAATTATTAATGATTTATTTATATTTATGGATAGAATGAATATATAACGCCTTAAAAAAGAGGTATGAATTCCCATGTTTTTGTTTCCTTCATACGATGATAATCGGAAAGTCAATAAAATCTAGTTTAATTTGAAAAATAAAGAATTTAAATAAAATGCTAAAAAGATAATTCTGCAGTTTTTTACATTCAGGTAAACAATTCCAAAATAGCCAAAATGTACGTTCTTTTAGCTTCTCTTTCTGAAAGGATCTATACGAGCATTAGCTTTCCAGTAATATTTTTTGTCATTAGTTTTCTCTTCCACTGCACATTGATGTGATATTTTTATTTGCCCTTTTTCATTCCTTACCATGTTAAATCAGCTGTTATATAATAAATCGTTGAATTTTATTTCCACTTTCATTTTTACAGGATCAAAGAAATCTCTTGGTGGATATTAAACCTTTGAGTAATTGGAATATCTTTAGAAGACAGAACCTAAAGTTTTATTTAGGTCTTTTTGTGTGTAATTTATTGTTATTTATTTTTTAATACAATTGTTGTTATTTTAGTTGTGTTGATTTTTTGGTTACGCACTATAATGTTAAGTTCTTACACAAATAGAAATTATTGTCACCGCGGAAAACTGGTGGGTGACTTGTAGAATTGTGTAACAAGAGCCTGACTGAATGGCATCTTGTTACTGAAACTGTGTGATGAACCTGATCACACATAAACGAATACTCTGAATGACAAGACAACTCTAGGTCTGAAATTCTGGTGCAAATGAACTCTTGAGACTCTGGAACTCGCGATGAATAATTCAATAATTCAGCATGGAATACTTTTATTCCCGATGGACAGTGTCCAATGTAAAGTCTAAGACATGTCTTAGGATGGTCTTACGACATATTTCAGTCCTAAGTGGGTTTCACAAAGTGGTCATAAATTAGGACACCTCTTAAAGTTGGTCATAAAGTTAGGACTACACGAGAGGTGTCTTATGATGGTCTTTGGATAGTCATAAGTTTATTTATATAAATTACACTAATTTTTTATATTAATTTTGTGAATTATCTTATTATTATCTAATTATCCATTCTCCTTTTCCTGCTCACAACTAAATCTTTTTTGGTTGACGCATTGTCATGATTTGTCAACAATAAACTTTCGATATATTGGTATCAAGAATGCACGATTTTATCCTTTAATCCTATTATAACCGATACAGTGACAAATTGAATTCAACTCACTTATACAAAAAAAAAATATAATTTTATTCCTTTTTCTCGATTTTGTATTTAAAGTTCATATGTATATAAGTATATTATCAAATTACACTTATTTTTTATATTGATTTTGCAAATTATCTAATTATCAATACATTTTAGTAATTTATGGTAATACATCCTACATTTACATTTACATGAATTTTTCCCATAAATCAATGTTAATATTTAAAAATTTAAAGAACTTGCGACAGGTTTATGATATCTTTGCTAAGATCATACTAAGACAGCTTCGAGGCGAGATCTGAGATAGTCATAAGAGGATCATAAGACATGTCCTAAGATATATCTTATGACAGGTCTTAGGATAGCTTCGTGAAACCGGCCCCTGGGTCCGATCTTATTCATCAAAATTACAAACAAGTATTTATACACAATTGAATTGACAAGAATAAACATAACAAATAACAATTAATCAAAGTACTGAAGTACTGAACATCGGATGACCGCAGGTTCTTGTGGATGGTCAAAAGCACATGTCACAGAAATAGATCACATCTCTATACCTGAAACTGAGGTTAATTTACAGAGATATATTTTTTTCTGATACAAGTTCGTGCATGGATGATGAATAAATGACAGGAAATTCAACCGCACCGTAATAACTATTATATTGTAGTGATACAAATCAGTATACCTGGGACTATTATACTAATATGATAATAGTGTCAGAGTATACACGTCTGGTTTGTTGTTATATATTATATTAATATTACGGTTGCACGTATATATAATTTTCATCTATTTATATATCATTCTATTCTACTATTCTAATTATAGTGCAGTGCAAGTGCATGGTGGACACTCTTCTGTAAAAAAATCGATTTTTCATAAAGATTGGATTTGAGAAGCCATTCATATTTTCCCGCAAAACAATAACAGAGTTATCGGTCCTTGCCGGGAGTGTCGCAAAACGTTCTTGAGATATTCTTCCGTAAGCTTTAACACAATTTTTCGGTACGTGTGCATTTATATCATCAATGATTTTTTACTTTTATATATATATAACTAACGACAACACATTTTCATATTATTAATTTGTGTTTTAATAAAAATATTTATAGGAGTATCCATTGAAAAAATGAATTTGAAACAAGCGATAAGTAATGTTATTTTGCACTAGATAAGTGACCGCGGATCTATAATTTTTATAGATCGGTTGAAAACCCAAAACTAATTTGCATAATGGATATTTAGGCGATAGCAATACATCGATATGACCTCACGGTCATCGCGATGTAAAAACCAATTGTTCAGAGAACAATTGAAGGTCTTTCCACAGCAATTTTTAAATTTATTGAAAAGAAGCTAGTTCGTGTTTACTCAAAGTTATAATTGGCATCTTAACATCAGTTCCTTCATACTGATGCGATAAATAAGTGGTTTCTATATACTTCTGAGTGAAATAAGGGAGATAATTAGCTACTTCCAGTGAAGTAAATGTCACTTCCGGTCTCATTTAAGAGTTTCTTTCACACTGATTCCAAAAATAAATAGTTTCTATATACTTTTGCTTGTAAACCAGGAGATAATTGGCCACTTCTGGTTTATCGAAAGTCATTTCTAGTCTTCAGTGATAAGTTAATGTATTGAAATTACAAAATATAGGGATTCCGAGTACTTTTCCATGAAGAAAGTGCAAAAATGGCTACTTCCGGTTTCTCAAGGTCACTTCCGGTTGTCTTTTTTCAAGGTCATATGTCATCCAACCTTTTGTAAAAGGTCATATGGCTTTTTAATGAACTAAGTTGAAGTATTAATCAATTAACCTTATAATTGGACATTTCAGGGGCACTAACTCCTATTAGTTGCCATTAGATTGTTTTAGACTAATGTAACATATCTTCATTACAATAAAGCAAACATTTTGCACTTGTTGTTTCATATATATATCTTTAAAAGTGTTTAAAAATGCCAAAACAAGGAAAAGACAAAATTGAGAACTTGACATTGACCTTTGACCTTGACCTCATTTTCTAAGTTAGGACCTAGGGACCTTAAATAAAAAGATTCCAGGGTTATACGGTTAACGGTTTATGAGTTAAAAAAACATACGGACAAATTTATTTGGTAAAGATAGATAACTCCTTTAAAATTTCATCGAATCGCTATGATCCAAATTAGCAAAAAATTCCTGAGGATGTAACGAACAATTTAGAAAAAGAATTTTGTCGATATCTTTTTTTGTTACGAAAGAGATGCACACACTTGATAAACAGTGAATAGGGAGATAACTATTACAAAAAAAAATTGTTCGGCTTAGAATGGGTGAAAATAAAAAGCGCATAAACTGTATGATACTATATAAGAAATATCTTAGCGACATAATTGCGAAACAAAAATTTTACGCGATAACAAAATTTGGCGGAAGAAAAAAATAATAATCAGAACAAATACAATAGGTCTTTCCACAGAAAAGTGGAAAGACCTAATTAATCTGAGTGATATTGTCCACTGTTAAAGATTATACTTTATTTAGAACTTGGAAGAATTAATAATCTGATTATGATAATTGCATGTAACATAGAGTTATGAATAAGGTAAATGGTCACTATTTAGGTAATAGATTAAAACATGTCCCGCAATATCCGAACTGATAATTTCAAATAACACATCAAAACATGTTGATTAAAAGTTAGGGAAACAAATGTAAATAGAAACCAAAATATAAAATGAATTATTGAGCACAAACAATTTTAGTCCAAAATGTCAGAATAGTAAATTTTAAGAAATATGAGAAGCTACTTTGTCACAGATACTAACGATTTAACCATTTTAAGTTTATCACAAAAATGATATTTTCCTAAATATTTACCACCGTTGCGATATAGTAATTCAGTTATCACGACAATATATAAAATTGAGAATGGAAATGAGGAATGTGTCAAAGAGACAACAACCCGACCATAGAGCAGATAACAGCCGAAGGGCACCAATGGGTCTTCAATGCAGCGAGAAACTCCCGCACCCGGAGGCGTCCTTCAGCTGGCCCCTAAACAACTATGTATACTAGTTCAGTGATAATGGACGTCATACTAAACTCCAAATTATACACAAGAAACTCAAATTAAAAATGATACAAGACTTACAAAGGCCAGAGGCTCCTGACTTCGGACAGGCGCAAAAATGCGGCGGGGTTAAACATGTTTTTTGAATATATGTCTATTTGAAGCTGACTGTCATCAAGGTACATGTAACTGCCTTGTTTGTTTGTTTTTTTTTAGGGGGGGGGGGGGGGGAGATGGCAAAGATACTTCTTATAGAACTTTTACTAGACAGCAACTTTTATGTTAACCCCTGAGATGTATTTCTGTTTTCTATGAGGTTTTAAAAGTATTTCTAATCTTAAGTTTTTAGTAACGTTTGATGCATAAATGACTTTGCTTGATTGATGGATTATGGTCAATATCAATAATGGGACTTAAACTGAGGACTACAAATAAAAATGGTGGAAAGTTGTTTCATTGGCAATCATACCACATCTTTTTATTTTTATATAAATACGATTAGTCAGAAAAATTCACAACGCCACATTAGGAATGTTTTAAAGAGTTGAATATGCTTATTGTTTGTGAAACCTTGAATTATTGTTTATTTATGGTGGGATGATGCATGCATAAGGTAGCACTCCACAGTTAGGTGTGTAGTTTCGCATTTTGGTCCCTGTGGATTTTTCAAATATGAGAGCTAGTGTACATAAAATTCATTTTTGGATAGCTGAAGATTAATATAGCCTTCAAAGTGGGTTTATAGGAACATCTAGATTGTGTAATGCATGTATTATGGACTGTTTTCTGTATGACAGTCCGTATTTTCATATCCATACCAGACATCGGTCCGGCAATTATTGCATTGTTTTTCACTAACTTTTTGTCGCACGAACTTTGTGATTAAATTTTACGAAAAAATGAGGCGAAAGACACCAAATTTTTATTTGATCATTTGGTAGATTAATGTCAACAGTTTCAGAAAAGGTATCACTCATAGGCATTGAAATTCTAGTTTAAACCAAATTTTGCAATATATTTATGATATATAAATGCAGAATGTTGCCATGGATACACAAAAAAGGAATTATTTTTCACCATTTTAACTTTTGAAAATTAAATCTATGGAAGATACTGATTACATACATATGCACATGTATGACACAAACAGTTGGCTTAATGTATTAGAAAGCCAGGAATAGAAGATGATAAAACATTTTGTTGTTCAATTTTAATTTTATTTTCTAACTGTGGAGTGCTACCTAAGAGATGGTTTCCTGTCGATGCATCCGGTC